TGGGAAAGAATGGAAGATAGTATTGTGTCTGAAGGAAAGATGAAAAATTGTAAGGCAGTATGTATTTTTAAGCAAGAATTACATTCCAGAATTATAATAATGGATGATAACTATGAGACATTTTTATATTTTTAGTTAAATATTCAGTCTGAACCTGTGATTTAAAGATCCCATTTGTTTTGCTTCAGTGATTCACATTTAAGAAAGAAAGAAAGAAAGAAAGAGAGAGAGAGAGAGAGAGAGAGAGGGAGAGAGAGAGAAAAAAAGAAAAGTCTGCACCTCTGCCTGCCAAAAAAAAAAAAGACAGAAAGACTGTTTTGGGTTCTTACCGTAAGTTCTTGGTAACAACTTGGATGTGCTTTTATGACAGTACACACCTATTTTAATAGAAAACTAAAGTGGTATGTAAATACTAGTAATGGTATGTAAATAGTATGTTCCCAGTGGTTATAAATTAAATTCTGTTTAATACTGCTAGACAGAAACGTGTTGGTATGAAGAAGAAAAAAATGCAAGTGTTATTCCACTAATCCATCCTGCAGCTTTTATATTTTCTTTTGTAATAAGTTGTATTGCTCTCCAGAAAACAGAGATTAAATGAAAAATATCTTTAACTCCTGATGTTAAAGTCTTTATTAAACATGTCAATTATTTTCCTTTTAAAACAAAATACTATCAGAGAGAAAACAATACTTTTTTGAATTTTGAGCTGCTTAAATTGGTGGAAAGTACACTTTTATGCATACATTCTTAGCAGCTTTAAATTGAGTCAATTTGCATAGAATGTGCTAGACCATATCTTTTACGAAAGTACCTGAAAGCAACAGTGTGTGACGTGATGTACTGCACCGAGTATAATTATTGAGCACAAAACTCTTTATCTACAGTCTCATTTATAAGATTATATCTTACTTTACAGACTGATGCTGTAGAAACTGCTCTAGTTTATCAGAAATTAGTTATTTCTCTCTTCCTAAGGTTGTCTGAAACTATGGACATTGGAGGAGAGGAACGAGTGCTTGTACGTCAAGTTTTAAGGAAAAGAATATTGTATAGTTATGGCAAAAGAACTTCCTGTACCAAGTGTGCAAAAACAAGCACTTAAATTAAAAATGGAAGGTGAGAGGCTAGCAGTAGGGTACAGTAGCTGCCAGGTCCAAACAGACATAAGATGGACTCCCGTTGAGTTTGAAAGGAAGCATTTTCAGTGTAGACAAATGGAAAGTTTATGCCTGAGGAGAGACCTCTTTGTTGATGCTGTCAATATAGATCTTGCTTTATAGGAGTTTTGTATTGAACTGAACTTTCCAGAATTTTGTAGGCTACAATCATGAGATATTTTGTACTTGCTGCCCCTGCATAACATTTAAAGGACATAGGGAAGTGGTTTTCCTAACATTGGTCTCCTATATGTACAGTGCACATAAAGAGCACTGAGGGCATTCCACAACCTGATAGCATAGTAAAAAGTAAAATCTTCATTTGTACCTTTCATTCATGACCCATAACTATGTAGCTATGCCAGTCATAATATGGTAAACATCAAACAATGCTTATGACTGGTTATGTTCTTTCCATTTACTCAGAGGCTGATAAATAGATAAATTCAGTATCTGATTATGTAATTATCTGTACAAGCAACGAAACACAAAAGATACTTTATTTTTAAA